GCCTTAGCCTCCCAAAATGCTGGGGTTACAGGCATGAGCCCCGTTGCCAAACCAGTTCATTCATTTTAGAATGAATGCCCTGCCCTGGGGTGAATGGACTAGAGGAGGGCAATACTGGAGGGTTAGGCAAGTTTAGCCTGTGGAAGTGATCCAGATGAGATGTGAACTGAGGGGTAGTGGCGGAGGGGATGAAGATAAGTGGATTCTAGGAAGTGACTGACTTTTAAGGGAACGAGGAGTCACCCCAGGTCTTACAAAAGACCTGGCTTTGTCTCCTGTGGATATCCAGGCTCCCTATGATCCATGTCATGCCGTTACCATAAACGAATTAGTAGATTTTCTATATTGATGAAATATGAATATGAGAATGTTCATAGTAGCATTAATCATAGTAGTCCCAAAATGAAAACAGTCCAAACATCCATCAGCTGATGAATGGATACGTAAAACTTGCTTATATACTTCAGTGGAATATTATTTGGCAATAAAAAGAAGTGAAATACCAATATATGCTACAAAATGGATGAGCCTTAGAAGCATTATATTTATTGAAAGAAGCCAGTCATAAAGGCCACATACTGTATGATTCCATTTATATGAAATATCCAGAATAGGCAATGCTGTAGACATAGAAGATAGACTAATGGTTGCCTGCTGCTGGGATTGGGGAGTGGGAGAAAATGGGAGTGAGTGCTAATGGATATAGGATTTCTTTTTATAGTGTTAATAATGTTCTAAAATTGATTGTGGTATTGGTTGCACAACTCTGAATATACTAAAAACTATTGTACATTTTATTTAAATGGATGAATTGTATGGCATGTAAATTATATATCATTAAAGCTATTATAAAGATATGAATGTGGGAGTAAAGTCTAGAAAACAGAAAACTGGCTGGTGGAATCAGGCATATGGAATACATCAAAAACAACAGTGAGGAAATAGCAAAAAACTGGAAAAAATTTAAATGTCTAACAGGAGGATGGATAAATTGTAGTGTATTCATTTTTTAAAAAATGACAGTGAGTACCCGATAACTAAGAAATTCACATAGAAGTATGAATAGTCTATAAACATGACCTAAAAATAGCATTTGTCAGAACATTTAGAAGTAATTTTTTTACTCAACTGTCTAGCCCTTAATACTGCTATTAACATTACCAAAGAACACCATTTAGGAAGGTAAAGAAACCATGTATTTTAGCAAAGATTTTATTTTAAAATGTAGGGATTTCATTTTTTTAAAAGTTTCAGGATTAGTTTCATTTAACCAAAAGATATAGCTATATCTTTAGAACGTCTTTACAGAAGAACCAGTAAATATTTTCTCATCTGAATTGTGAGTTTCTTAGGGTTAGGGTAAATAGAAAAAAGAAGAGATTATTACTTGAAAAACAGAAAAGGCAAGAGAAAGTAGTAATGTACAGTAAAGTTTCAGAAGGAAATTGGACAGTTGAGGATCACTCAACATTTAGTGACTTCTGTCATTTATACTTTTTTGCAAAAATGTTATGCAGACCATTTTTGGCCATTCGTCTCATTTTGTTTTACATAATCACTGAAGCAATTAGGAAAAAAAAAAAAAAAAAAAACCTGCTTTAAATGAAGAACCCGAGGAGAAGAAAAAAAAATTGAAGAACTTGCCCATGGTTGGTACTAGGGAATGAAGAGTAAAACACAAGTTGGGGAAATCTAGGTTCTTCTTAAATGGGATCTTAGAAATTGTTTTTTAAGAGAAGGTATTTGTGCTTTAGTATACTTACATTTTATTATGTGTTATTCATTCTGAAATTATTTTACTTAGACATTGAGACAGCAGAATGAAAGTGGCTAGTAAAGAATGAAAATATCAGAAAATTTAGAATGCCATGTTGATGATGTCTGCTTTTTAAAGGTCTGTATATCAGAATTTGAGAGAATTGTTTTGAGACTAATGGGTGTATGTATTAGTCCTCATGCTGCTATGAAGAAATACCTGAGACTGGGTAATTTATAAAGGAAAGAGGTTTAATTGACTCACAGTTTCACATGGTTGGGAAGGCCTCGAGAAACTTACAGTCATGGCAGAAGGGGAAGCAAACATGTCCTCCGTCACAAGGCAGCAGGCAAGAGAAGAATGAGAACTGAGTGAAGGGAGAATCCCCTTATAAAACCATCAGATCTCAGTGAGAACTTACTATCACAAAAATAGGATGGGGGAAACCACCCCCCAATTCAGTTACCTCCCACAGGGACCCTCCTAGACATGTGGGGATTATGGGAACTACAATTCACGATGAGATTTGGGTGGGGACACAACCAAACTGTATCAGTCAGTGTACTTAAAATTTGGCATTCAGAAGTTTTTGCTGCTGTATTTTGAGTTTATTTCTTAAATCACCTCAATTTGCTATTCTTTAATGTTAATCTTTTTTTTCCCCTAAGAGCAAGTTTCTCATCTTGGAGGCTGGAGGATTTATTTGTCTTTCCTGAGAATTTCCTTTCCTTATCTTTTTAATTGCGGTGCTGTTATGGGTCCTGTCCTAAATTTCTTCCTTAATTTCTTTTTCTCTTTTCATTTAATTTAGGCATATTAATTTTACATTAATGATCTGTGCCTCCTTTTATCTTGGAGGAAGAAATTGGTATTCTTTGAGTGTACTGTGAAATTCTTCCATTAAAATTAACAGCAAATATTGAAATACGTCTCTGATAATTAGGGAATCATTCATAGAAAGAGGAACAATTCTAGATGTTTTCAAAGGTCTTTTCAGTCAATATTTTACCTTACAGCTAAGTGGACAAAAAGCTCTTTGCAAAGTTTAGTATTTTTTTGGCCAAACTATTTCTGCTATACTACCAGCTACATAGCCTTTATAGTTGTTGAAAGTGTTTAAACATGAGAACCATCGCCTATCCATATATCTATGACATAAGATTTTCAGTGCCCTTTTAAAAAATAACACATATTCTACTGTTGCTTGCATCTGTTCCATCCTAGTTCTCTAGAAGAACTGCCAGTTAGAGTCTAGTTCTTTGTGTTGGTGTTCTAATTAATCAGGAAAGCAAAATTTGCTTTTATGTCTTTGTGAAAGCCCTTGCTAATTAGAAACATTACTTCAAAATTTTTTTCATATTTTCTCTGCTGAGCTTGTTCTTCTTTGGTTAGCCGTTCTTTGTTTTTTTAATTAGAGTAATACTACATAGACAACCTGTTTTAATGTATCAGATTCCTACATATAAAATAATTTAAGTAGGAGTTGATCCTTTGTATTGCTAAAGATTATTCAGTTTTAAAAAGGACTCAGCAGGTTTTCTTTTTAAATATTAAATTTCTTTTGTATATTGAAAATACAATTCAAATTTACATGATTTATATAGTATTTTTAAGGATACAATTCTCTAATAAGCTAAACTGCAACTATATATAAGTGCTTATTTCTTTTTAAGAACTATATTCTACTCTTAGATGATTTCTCATTATACCTACTGAATTTATGGTGATTTCAGTTTACTGGAAATTTCCTCTGGTTAATTAAGGATACAGTTTTGCAAGTAAAGTTTGATAACTCTAAATGAGAGAAATAAAACTTGAGAATTAGATAATTTTAGAAGATGGCATATTTGTACTTATTTTGATTTTTGGAATATCTGTTAATTAAAAATAATCAGAACTACAGATGAACCTACTGACTGGGTAAAGATGCCTTTTGATTAGGTATATATGAGTTTTTTATGTGCAGAAATTTTAATATATTTAATTGTAGTGTAAATCTGTTAGGTCTGGAAATGGTATAGCTTACTGTGCCAGTTCTCTAGCCGAAATCTTAATTGCGGGAGATGATGCATCTGTGTTTCAGTTGTGGACACTAAGAGGTGAGACAGTGGAGTGAGCGAGCATCTTGAGTGGTAGTAGAGTTCATGAGTAGCGATGAGATTGAGGTCCTGATTATGAATACTTTTCAGTTCGTATTTTATGTGGATTGTTGCATTGCAGGCCACCAGTGATTTTGTAAAGGAGTCTTAGAATAATTGCTGTGTTCTATAAGCAGTATCTTTTGGAGAGTTATTTTGGAAGAAAATCATTTTGCTAAATATGATAATAAATATTTACTTGATCATTAAAGACTGTATTTGTAATATGAATGTAAAATGGATTTGTGGATAGAGCTAATGTTGAGCAAATTTATGATGGGATTGTACCAAAATTATTCAGAGAATTTTTGAAGGATGACATAAAGCAGAAGGATTTTGTGACTGGTAATTAGTTTAAAAAAACACTGTAAATTTTTGACCCTACTTAAAAAACCCTGGAGTTGTGTAAGGCACCTGCAGATGGCAAGATTGAGCACACAGTAGGTTCTCTCCCTTCACAGCAATTACGATCAGCTGAAGCTCTGTAGGCTTTGGAAACTTCACTATCCTAATGGAGTAGATTTGGATCTGAATTCTTTTTCAGGTGCTCATATGTATTAGAGAACCACCAAGCACTTTTAACCAACAAACAAGTTTTTATTGTTGCTTTAGTTAAATGTTTTCCTGATGTAAGGTGTTTTTTTTTTTTCTTCAAACATGAGAACGTTACACTACCTTTTTTACACTACACTGTGATTACTGTGTACAGATCAGTGTCAGTGAAATAAAGAACACAACTGTATACTAGGCAAAGAACTTTATTAACCTTTGTTTCAAACTTTGTTCCCAGACTTCTTCGGCTTAATTAGCTGCAAAGAATGAATTGTGTATAAGCAAAAACTGAAAAGAGCTGCAGTGTCCAAGGGGCTTGGGCTTAAAAATATTAGAGATCTGGGTTTTATCAGACCCATAAACAAAAATTTCTTAAAAATATATAAGAAATTTTTTAAATGTCTTATAAAATTTTATAATTTTATATATAATTAATATAAAACAGCAGCTCCCAGTGACTTCTTCAAGTTTTATCTTCAGAAGTTGACTCATTTCAGTTTGCCTCATTCTTGGAAGCCTCATCCAAATTCTCCACAAGATCTGGAACTTCATCATCATCCTCCTCTCCAGTAGTGTAGTGCTTTTCCACCCACAAATTGTTTGGGCAGAACTTCAGCCAGTCTCCTTAAACTAGTCAGACTGCCTGCACCAAGCTGGTTTAAGATGCTGGGCAGCATTTCTGTCAGCTGCTTTGTCTCAGTATGGCCTGTAATGGTGAAAGTGTTCATTGCCAGGGATGCCTGAACTTTAGGGTTGTTAAAGTGGATTGCTGTTCCTTGATTCGTAAACATATTCACCTCTTCAATGCTAGAGATTTCTAACTTCTTTAAGGAGAACTGACGTTTTTTATTATCTGCTGTGGCTGTTCCGTGAACTACCTTCTTTCTGTGAGCAGTTCCACCAATGTGCACTTTTGCCTGCAGTTTGGCGAGTTTTTCCTGGTTCATGATTGTTTCTTTCATCTTGTTGGAGCGGATAAGGGGCTGTGTGGGGGACTAGGGTTGGTGCTGAGGGGATCTCAGGGGAACCAACTGAGATTAGGTGCACACACGTGGGGACGCAAGATGGCAGCTCCCTGTTGTAAGTTTTTTGGCATCATGTTGCAAGTTAAAACCACTTACACTGAGATTTCTGAGATGTCTGCTGACTGCCTTAGGCTACTCTTTATCATCATTTTAAAAATTATAGGTGTGCTTTGGCAGCGTGTAAATAGGTACTGATTCATTATTTTATCCACTGAAATAGTTTTAGCAGATTTACATATACAGTCCAGTCCTTAAATCAATTCACAGATAAGTTTTTAAAATAGAAAATATCAAAGCTAAAGTTATTTTCTTAGTAAAATACCAAAGTAGCTACATACATTGTATAATTTGGCTTGTAATTAATGTATTTCACTGTTAATATTTCTGATGGTAGTCTAGATGACTTTAAAAACGAAGATGAAAGTTTCCTTCACTGCAAATATTAAATTATTACTTTTTAAGTGTTTAATAAAGCTCTACATGTTGAATAATAAAGGGATTATTATTTTACATATTTAAAGAGAATTTTTATTTAGGAAATTAACATTCAGCCTAATGTTGCATATAACATGGTATCCTTTTGTACAATTGTATCAAATAAAGAACAGAAACTATATTATGGCTTCTAGTGATGCCCTAACCACTGGTGTTTTCTTTTTCTTGTGTTCCCTCTTCATGTGCATACTCCGTGCTCCCCTTTGGGTTGACTTGTAATCTGACTCTTGTGACAGATATTAGGAGGTGGAGCAAAGGAATTTCAGACCAGTCAGCTAAGAGACTGCTGTGGGGTAAGAAAAAAAAAATTATTTAGCCTCTTAAAATTACTCTTATCAAAGGAAAAGAAGTTGGAAGCACATGATAATATAACCAGAAACATGACACAGAAGAATTAAGGGAAGAGTAGAGGAGACACGTAGATAAGTTAGATAGTTACTGCTGAGGTTTTTTTTAGGTGCGAGTGGGGTTTCATGTTGAAGCCTGTGCTTTGCTTTGACTGAATCTGGCTTAATTTCTGTAAACATCCCTCCTTCTAGGATGAATCAATGCATCTTAGCCATGTCTATACCTGTAGCAAAATACTGATGATGAAAGTTTACGGGCAATTTTAAAAAGGGAGAAGAAAAAGTGAAAAACCTTGATGTTTCAAGGATCCCACAGTTTCTGCCAAGTTTGAACACATTCCAGAATCCCAAAAAAAGTGTGTACTTTTGAAGCTGTATTTTTCAGGTGTTTGTATGTACATTTCCATAAGTTGGAAATCAATCGACAATAAATACATACTTTAAAATATTTCTTTTACTTTGGCAGTTACACGTGTGTGCAGAATTCCTACAATTTTTCAATCTCTTTATTCAATTTATTAGGATATCTGTACGGTTTTTCCTATGAAAAGTAATTTCAGTGGAGAGATTTAGCTAGGAACTTCATTAGGCAGCCTGTGTGATTCAGGAGCAAAGGAATAGCCTGTTAGTTTAATGTTTGCAAACATATGGGTTGAGGGCAAGTATGTAGGCATAAGTGGTCAGAAGCGAATTATGGATCTGGTGGCTCTGGTTTGCTAAGGCGTTTCTGTCTATCTCAGTCGTGCAGGACCTGGCCGTCCTGTTATATTGCTCACTGAAGGTCAAAGCTTCGCAGAGCAGAGTGCTGACATGATTCTCTTTGTACATTTGATGCTGAAAGCACTAACATGTAAGCTCTGGAAAGCATTTAATCACTGTAGTTTCTAAATAGTCAAGTCTAGTGAGAGCAACTTTTAGTAATTTACAACGTAAAAAGTTGAGTGTTTTTTCCCCTAAAAATCTTACTTTATTAAAGCACCTAATTTTAAAGGAGGAAGAACTTCTTAGTTTTCCCATTAGAGATCAGAAAAGAAAAGAGCTTATTACACAATCTTCACATAAGCATAGCAGTTTAAATTTACAATCAGGGTATCCATTATAGCTACATTTAGTCAGTTGAAACATGTAAAAAATTAATACTAATAAACTCAGTGTGTTCCACAGTACTCTGGTGCTTACCTTGTTTATTATTTTTTGTTAACTCAAAGACACAGCAAATCTGTCACTATACTATATCTTGCTTATAATGAGGACCAGAAATGAATGTTTATTTGAAAGATGGCAAAGAAAAATCTCCTTGCTTTAAAAAGATGTTAAAAAAGCGTATATTCCGGTGTTGCATTTTTAATGAGCCAAGATGTATTTTCAACATATATCTTCCCCTCTATTGCATATTACAAATAAACAAAAAATTAACAAACTTAGCATTCTAAAGTACGTTCATAGAATTTCAATGCTAATTTAATGTGCTTTGAAAATTCATATAATTCATCATTGTTGTCTTTTTCTTTATATTTAAACTAATTGCTCATAGGTGTGTGTTCAAAATAAATGAATTTAAGCATGATTTTATATGGTGTTCTTTTTAATAACTATGCAAACATATTTATTTCAACAGACAATATTAATGTCTGTTGATTAGGCAGATTTCAAAATTGTTTTCCTTGTGTACTAGGGAAGTAAATGCAAGTTTCTTTAATGAGAGCAACTCAGATATTTAATTTCAATCTGGTTGTTGTTGTTGTTAAAGGGATAGGGAACCAAGGTAGCAGAAAAGACTAAAGCAGGATTTTTTATTTTTTTTTTTTTACTTTTAAAGAAAACAATACATTTACATAACAAATAATGGAATTATAGTGGCCACTGCGCCTACGGGCCCCCCCCCCCCACCCCACCCCACTACAGCACACACTGGGATAGTGCTGAACAAAATTACAGGTTTAGGATATGATGTACATCAATAAGTCGCCTGTCCTATGGCCGTCAGTTGCATGCCAGATAATGATAGCATTATCATCTTTATTTCTTAGCATCTTTACTTTAGAGCTGGAAGAGACCTATCATTGAAGGACTACACTTTAAAGTTAGGACCTAGAGTTAGTAAACAATTTTTTGGCTGTTGCATAGTTGTGGGCCATGCTGGGACATGAATCCAAGTTTTTCCCTTCCAAGTTCAGTGACTCTTTTCATCAAACCATGCTGCTGCTGTAATGTTCTCTTTTCTTTTTTTTTTTCTTGTTTTTTTTTTTTTTTTCCCCCCTTGTTTTTTTTTTTTTTTTTTTTTTTTTGAGGCAAGGTTTCACTGTGTCACTCAGGCTGGAGTGCAGTGGTGAGATCACTGTTCACTGCAGCCTCAACCTCCCTGGCTCAAGTGATTCTCCCACTGCAGCCTCCCCAGTAGCTGGGACTACAGTCATGCGCCAAGCTAAAATCTGGCTAATTTTTAACAGTTGAGGTCTATGTTGCCCAGGCTGGTTAATTTTTTAAATAAATGAAACATTTTTACTGGTTGTTGTTAGTCAGTTAAAGTAGTATGCATTGAGTCTGGCAAAATTCATAATTAGGTTTCAGAAAATGTGTGTTGTATGTGTTTTTTAAATCTCTGATAACCTAAGGTATCCTTAAGCTACCGGATGGAAAATTTGAGTTTCAACATAGACACATCTATGAATTTTTCTTACTGTGGATGAATGTAGGTTGACTTGCCTTAAATCAGAATGCAAATATGTATATTTTGTATATTGATTGAAGTTGTTAATTTGTCTTAGTGAAAAATTGGAAGCGCTCCTTAATGAAAATTAACATTTAAGTTGAAGCCACAACTTTGTTCAATATTTTTTCTTCCTGTATGTATTAGCCTAGTGCTACCATCATTGTTTTTGACTATACTGAACACTAGAAAGATGCCAGTGTTTGTGCTGTAGAAAAAATCCACTCCCATGATGTGGATCCTGAGTGACATTCTTTTTTTTTTTTTTTTTTAATTAAATTTTTTTTAGAGATAGAGTCTCACTGTGTTGCCCAGGCTGGTCTTGAACTCCTGGTCCTTATCCCAGATTTGAACTCCTGAACTCTTAGCCTCCCAAAGCAGTGGGATTATAGGTGTGAGCCACTGTACCTAGGCCCCCCCTCACTATTCTTTATGGCAAGTATGCTTGCAGTTGTCACAAGAAGAACCTGCCCAGGTTTGCTTTAGAATATATGAATTCAACCTGAAATATTATGCTGCTATTAAAAATTATATTGCCAAAGACTGAACCAACAAGGAAAAATACTTTCATGGTACTGGTAGGTAGAAATGGTCAGATTTAATTTTATATGACTGATTTTTAAAATTACATTTTTTTAATAAAATTCTTGAAAGTAAATATATCACATAGTGGTATATAGTGGAAATATGCATATCCTCCCCCCTTCACTTTTCCTTACTTTCCACACTTTTTCTAGTAACCACTTTCTGTATTAAAATAATAAACTTGAGGGAGAAAAATCTATAAATATTTATCTTTACAGACGAGCTACGGAGACAACTGAAAAAGTTGTGTTTATAATGTTTCAAGCTCAAAAGAGCCTACTAACCAGAATGATACTTGCTCAGTCTTACTAAGCATTGAAAGTATAGGTATAGCTTATTACTCTAGTAACTAGTGTTACTCCATGTTAAAAATGCAGGATTTGTATAGAATTCATGTTAGGTGCTCTTCTGTTTTACTTGTACTAACTCATTTAATACTAACAAAAACCCTGTGAAGCAGTAGTGGTGGTGGTTGCTCTTGGGGCCTAAAAATATTTGTAATTTTTTTAAGTTAACATAGCTAATAACCAGTGCAGCCCAGTTTTGAACTAGTGTCACACCAGAGCCTATAATTTTAAGCATTATATAGTAATTACCTAGATTTTGTGTTGTGGTATAGAAAAGGTGACTTAGAAAGAAAAATAAAGGGAAAAATAGTCAAATAAAAATAGTCAAACTGTACCTAATGTAAGATTTTGCCTATAAACTGAATGGTAAATGCACAAATTTCTCTTTGTTGCCGTGTCATGTAAAAATGGCTAGATTGAGTATCATTAAATTTAGAGGGTATATGAGGAGCC